TCTTACCCAAAAATAACGTCACATTCCTTTCTATTTTCGTATTTAACGTAACGTTAGATCTTAAGCGTAATTTTAAATCTCTACATATGGTTGCAAATTATTTGATGGACTATTCTACCGGTTCCGTTTGCATTTCGCCGCGAGCAGAACAATTTGTCATACGAGCAAGGGACGTGCATACAGCGAGGCTAGCCAGTGCTTTGCGAGTAAACCACAGGGAGCGCTGGCGTAGCGCTGGCTGCGCGGGATCGCTTAAACAGAGGGCCCCGCTCAAACGAAGGCCCCGCTCAAACGAAGGGCCCCGCTCAAACGAAGGCCCCGCTCAAACGAAGGGCCCCGCTCAAACGAAGGCCCCGCTCAAACGAAGGGCCCCGCTCAAACGAAGGCCCCGCTCAAGTGAAGGCCTCGCTAAAACGAAGGCCCCGCTCAAGCGAAGGCCCCGCTCAAACGAAGGTCCCCTGCTCAGTCGAAGGTCCCCCGCTCAAATGAAGGCCCCGCTCAAGTGAAGGATGCGTTATGCGTTTTTAGTCGGGCCCCGCTCAACTGAAGGCCCCGCTAAGACGAAGCCCCCGCTCAACTGCCGCCCCCGCTCTAACGAAGCCCCCGCTCAAACGAAAACCCGCTCAAACGAAGCCCCCGCTCAAACGAAAACCCGCTCAGATGAAGCCCCCGCTCAAGTGAAAACCCCGCTCAAGTGAGAGCGTCTCCTCCTCTGTGACTCTAACCTGAAGTGCGGCCATTGCCTGTGCCCTAATTACGAAATCTAGTGTTGTCTCTGTTGGCTTTTTTTTCAAACTGAGCATCCTAGCTCGGACTGAGGACCCTGTGTTTTTTGCCGAAAAATAATTCGCCATGAGCTCTTTGTAGTCCTCCCACTCTCTGTTAGCGCTAATTGATTCGTGTATTGCCTGCAGGTGTGTAGGCAGGAATTGCCCAATGTACTCGGGCACATCTTTTGCCCTGATGCCGTGCTTAGCGTACACGGCTGCCACATGATCAAGCCAGGCCATTGGATTATCCTTAACAAACTGTCTGACTGTGGGTTGCAGTGAAACTGAAAGACCTTTTGCTGCCATTTTCGAAGATAACTCTGCTTGTGCAATGTAATCTAGGTATTTTCGTGTACCGTTAATAAAGATCTGTAAGATTTCAGCAAAGTATTTTTGGAAGTTGTTCTGTTGGATTTTCAGTCATGAACTCTATTATATCAAGATTTAATTTATATTAAGTGCCTTTGTTTGCGGCGGTTGCAGCTTGCGTCAGGGGCGAGATAGGCCACCAGTCGGACACGCATGTGTTGCGGTACGACTTGGCATACCTGGCAGGCGCTAAAAGGGCACGCTAGGGAACACCAGACAGCGCACAAGGCCACCGTCACTCGAACTCACTGCCCAATGCCTCAGAATAAAATGCCCAGCAAAATCACACAAATTTTAGGCCGAAAAAAAAAAATGCCTAACTTTGAAGTAGAATATCTCCGGAACGGTGTGTCGAAAAAATCTGAGCTTGTGATTTCTGGATTCAGCGGACCTTTCTCCGTAAAATGAGACCAGTTTCAAAAAGATCGGATAATTTTCACGGCAAAATCCCAGGATTTGGGACCTTTTATGTTAATTTTTTTCGAGAAAAGTGAGTTTTCCCAAAGAAAAAAATTATTTTAGATCAAATCTGACGGCACGATCGTGTTTCCCGTTTAATTATCAAGCTAGAACCTGAATCTGAAACCAATCGAACAAAAAAGTCCCTGAGATATAAGAAATACCCTAAATTAGTGCAAAGATACCCAAAAAATTTAAAATACCCATATCTCCCAGAGGAAATTTTTTTGAGATCTGAAATTTTGGCTATGAACTCCCACCATGGGAGACTACTAACCACCAGAAAATCAGTGAAATCTATGGGCAGTACACACGGTGTGGCGAAGGAGGTAAAACGTGTACCGCTTTCGTATTGGCGGTAGCCCGCCAATTACGCACCATACAAACCGAAGGAAAACGGCGGTACAGTATATTACCGCCCATTACGCGCCGTTTAGACAGTGCGTCAAAGGAGGTACAAAATATTACCGCCAGTAACGTTCCCTCAGAGTGCCAAGGAAAAGGCGGTAAAGCTCTCGAAAGGAGGTACAAACGGTTCTGTTAGGGCGGTAATTTCCGTACCGCCTTCGTATTGGCGGTAAAACGTGGACACCGCCAATACCAAATTACCGCCAGTAAAGGGTGGAAATATTACCGCCTTTAGATTTGGAGTGCGTTCACGGCTCGGTTCACGGTCTTTCTGAAGTTGTCGCTCGCGCTTCCCTTTCAGTTCGTTCTCTAGTGCCTCTAATTCCTGGCGTTTACGCTCGTATTCCTCCAATTCCAGGCGTTCGCGCTCTAGTTCCTCCGCTTGCTGCCTACCCGGCGCATGGTCAAAGTAGTCCAGTCATTCGCCAGAAAAATACCGTGTAGGACCGAAATGGCCCTTGAAAACGGGTAAGGAGTCTTAAGGGAGTGCTCCAGCACAACATACCGGAATTTAGGCCGTTTTTATGTTTTGGCCCCAAACGTGAAAAAAACACGATGTACGTATAGCCTTAGCGACGAAAATGGTCGAGCACCTCCGATAAGTCTGAAATTCATACGGAACGTTGCTATGGGTGTAAAAAAATAGATTCCCGGTGCCCAAAGGTCTTCGGCACTTGTTATTGGCCGTCAAAAGGACATTTACCTTGACGTTAGTTGAGTTTAAGTAACTAAGGACGATGGGTTGCATACCTCTGCGGCGCATACTCAACGCAGTCCAGTTATTCGCCAGAAAAATATGACGGCTGAATTGGCTCTTGGAATAGTGTCAGGAGCCTTAAGGGAGTGCTCGAGCACAACGTACTCCGATTTGGGCCGTTAATGTTTTTGCCCAAAACGCGAAACAAATAAGATATTACAGCCTTAACATTTTTTTCGACGAAAATGGTCAACCACCTCCGACTCGTGTGGAATTCATTTCGAGCCTTGGTATGGATTTAAGGAACAGATGACTGGTACCCATTGGACTGTTTCGACGCATGTTAATGGCTTTTTTTTAAAACGCGCAACTCTTTTTACTGCACCAAATGTTAGCAGTTACTCAAAATGCAATTTTAAAGCCAGTACAGAACAAGGCACCAGTTCACAAAATGTGCCTAAACTATGAATATTAGTGATTTTTGGACTTTTTTGAACCCGTTCGATGTTTTGTTCTGAAAATGCGTAACTTTTTTCCCACTAAATGTTAGCAGATACTCCAAATGAAATTTTAAACCTGGTTTCGATGGCCAATTCATTCAAGCCCCCAAGTGCTTCCAATTTTTATTGTTGAAAATAATTTTTAGGGCCTTTATGGTCTTTAAGTTGTGCCGGGTGTTGTAAGGGAGCACACCAGTAGTACAACACTTCATTCAAGCTACTTTAAGTTTAAAATTTTTCAATTTTACAACATTCTTTCCGGTTTTGTTTTGCAAAGGTCGTGGGCAATATGTGTTTCTTATTATGGCTTTGGAGGAATTGGCTTTTGAAAGAAAAACAAAATGAAGGTCCTTGATCGTTATCGTTTATTGAACGTGGCAAATGCGCATGTTGCTACGGCGAAGAGCAGAATCCCAGATGGGCTCACGGTGCTGGAGTGAGATTTCCCAGGAGGCTGCACGTAGGGCACGCGACCGTTTCATCATCTCGCGGAAGAATGTCGAGGAATACTTCAACGTCCGGTTGAGGGAGCCCGAGTCGTAATCGACGTGGACGAGTCCAAAGTTTCGACTGCACCGAAAACATACATACGAGGCAACGTAGTGCAGTTACCCTGGTGAAACTGAAGCGCAGTTTTAGGCCTTTCTTCACAGGTTGGGTTACCATAATAATTCTTTATTGTTTTTAGAACAATAGTTTGGAAAAAAATCGGGAAGTTCTTCGCAATACTTTGAAACATTCACATACGTAGAAGTGAAATAATTATGTCAGGACCGTAGTACAATGTGTTCGGGTCCAAACGCACTGAAATAGTTCAGCTTTGAGTTGCAATCCTCACCTGAATCCTGCAGTGAATTCGAAAATGTCCAGAAGAGCCCACGCTAGTACGCAAACACTTGTACGTCGTACTGCTTCATGGTCGCCATGAGTGACCGAAGATTCGTCTGGAATAAGTTTCAAGACAATAAACAACACGAGAAGCATTCACTGTTATGCAACGAATGTGACATCACATTCGTTAGAATGTGATGTCACATTCGTTTGAACGTGACACGGCCATCATGCGGCCTTCTGATGCGGGTGTCACATGCGTTTAAGCGGGTCCGTGGTATGACGTCCCCATTTTTTTCGTCCCGCAGACAATTCGTCCCCACCTAAATCGTCCCCAGCAAAATCATTTAGTCCCCGTGCCGACAAATACGTGGCGATAATCCGTGCACCCAGGCCGACAATGGAGACCACTACCGCAGCAACCCGGTGGGTGCGGGACACGGGCCAAAATGGAAGGCCAACTTTTAGATTCGGAGAAAGGAGGTAAAATTCTAAGTGTAAACGGATATCTATACAATAGGCACACAGAAAACCGTGACGGGTCCAGGACATACTGGATGTGCAGGCGACGTCCTGTATGTAAACGCCGAGCCATAACGACCACTCTCATTCCAGGAACGTGACATCACGTTGAAACGAACGTGACAAAATGTCACATTCGTTTGAGCATTGTGTCACATTCGTTTGGGTGTGAATTGGCCAAAAATCAGGTAGTTCACATTCAAACGAACGTGACACAATGCTCAAACGAACGCGACATGTTGTCACGTTCGTTTCAACGCGGTGTCACGTTCCTGGAATGAGAGTGACGTCCCCTCAAAGTAAGCTCGGGCATCATAAGAGGCCTGACTTAGTTGAAGGTCCAAGTCATCATGTACCTGTACCATTTGTTGACAGACGGTGTCAAATGTCGTGGACGTGATCAAAGACCGTCGAACACGACCACCCGCCACCCCGGAGGAAGCCGTGGCGCTGCGTGCCTACCAAACGATGAAACGACAAGCCAACGAGCACCCTGAGGCACCTCCAGCTGAGATACTACGCCAACATTTGCCAGAGGTCAGTAAATCCAAAAGCTTAAATTATTCTCTGCATTTTAATTTTTCTGTACTTACATCGATCTTTTTAATTATAAGGTACCGAAGGAAGCTCTGCCGTATCTTCCTGAAAGACACACGACGAAGAGGACGTTCAACAGAAGGAGGCAAGGAAAGTTCCCTGACAACCCCAAGAGCCTTGAAGATCTCGGCGAAATTCCTCCAGAATTTGCAACTACGTTGAGAGGGAAGCCGTTCTTGCTGTACGACTCCTACGACGACGACGACGAGGAGGACAGCGATGATGGGCAAGAGAACCGACGGCAGAAGCGAATATAACTTTTTGCATCAAAGGCTGATCTGAAAAAGCTCTCAAGGTCAGAAATACTGCAGATGGACGGAACTTGGACTTATATGGAGCCTTGGTCATAAAATGTGAAGAGCTTCGGATGCGTCGTCCTAGTCCCCGTTTAGTCATCCTGGATTTTGAAAAGGGACTTATCAATGCCTGCAGGCTGGCTTTTCCAAACGCAGAAGAAAGATTGTGCCTGTTCCACCTGCGCCAATCATCGTTCAGGAAAATCCAGGAGCTGGGCCTGCAGGTTGCTTACCGAGACGAGGAAAACACCGAGGTGAGGGACTCCTTCCGGCAAATAGTCGGCTGTGCGTTTGTGCCGACGGAGGACGTCGTGGCCAGTTTCCAAGAAGCGAAGGCGAACACCCGTAACGCCATGAAGCCATTTGCGGGCTCAGGGTGGTCGGAGGGCAGTGCCACCTCGCTATCCTCCTCACCATTGGAACCAACATGAGGCGGCCCTGCGGAACGAACCTCAAACCAACAATACGCTGGAAGCGTGGCACCTCAGATTCTAGGTTGGTATGACTGCAGAGGGTAAAAGCAGAGGGTATGGTGAACATATGAACCTAACTAGATTTGTTTTTGTTTTAGGCTATGGTGGGGAAAAGTCATCCTGCGGTGTACAGTCTGATCCAAGAGTTCAAGGAGCAGGCCGATACAGCAGTCATGATCGCCGAGCTCGGACTGGGGAGGAACGTAAAGCAGCCGCAGCGCCGGAAATACAGAAGGATCAACGGGAGGCTGAAGAACCTGGCCGAAGACTACGAGAGGTTTAAGGCTGAAGGGCGTAGACCTGACTACCTGCAAGCTTGTGGCCACACAGTTGGTTTGTAATTGATGTCGAATAAAACACTACAAAGGAGAGGACATATTTATTTGGGGACACTCAAATTGGGGACAAATTAACAGGGGACGAAAAATGTGGGGACGAATTGCCTTGAGGACAATTTTCATGGGGACATTCAAGCCTGTTCCCGTTTAAGCATGGATCAACATTCAAACGAATGTGACATCACATTCAAACGAACGTGACAAAATTCACATTCTAACGAATGTGACGTCACATTCGTTGAATAACAGTGTGATGATTCTCGAGCAGTAAAAGAGGCAGAAGCACCCAACCGCAGTTTTCAGCATAACAAAGTATTGTTTACAAAACGTGTAACAGGGGGTAAAGCAGCCTTGTGCGTGCGTGAAGCTATGCTCGCTGCTCGGCTGAGTAAACGACGTCATTTTAGATTTACGCAAAATTCCTATTCGTAGGAGACAATGGGATGGGCTTTCGCAGTCGTAAAACAGTTTTCAACTCCAAAATATAATCAAAATTACGGTACCACACATACAGCGACCCGATTGTTTGCCACTTTTCCCCGAGTGGCGGGCGTGTTGCATTTTGAATGTCGAGGCAGTCAGTTCTGCAGCTTTATTGTAAGGCCTTGACCTAATTAGTCTCGTAACCCATCTCAGCCCGACTTTTAATGTTGACATTTCAGAAAAATCCTTCGTTGAAAGTGGGGTGGTAAACTTACGCTGTGGAAAGCTGCTCGCACAGTATCCTTGACCCCCAAGGACTTGACGTCGGCAAAGCCGTTCTCAGTGACTGCGATCGGCAGATGGTACGCGTTCCATGTCCACATCAGCGCATCGTGCATTACGAACTCGTCAGCTCCTGTCTGTGTAAAAAAATCTCATTCAACGAACGTTAATGAAAGCAGATGATACTCGTTTGGTTTTCTTGTACGGTGTAGTATGGGTCATTCCAAAGATAGTATTAAAAGCTGAGTCCTTTGTGCGCTGTAGCGGGGAGGGATTGTGAATGTTGCGCCCAGGCCGTCGCGCGCGAGGAGGGGGTGCCATTGTCGAATTCCGCGCAGGCTGCGGCTCGACCACAGACTCACCAGCCGCCCCGGCAGCCAGCCCCTATTATATTGTTAGGATACAACTTGGTTTTTGGACTCTCGAGTAAAAGCTAGCTGACACCTTTATGTGTCTTTTAGTTGTAGTTTTAGGTAGGTTTTTAAGTAAAGGTATCATCTGCTAAAAAGACGCAATTCCGGTCAGGGGCAGGCATTCAGTGAGCGCAAACGGGAATCTACACGAAAAGAAGAAAATAAGAAATCTGCGGACGTATCTTAGGTCAATTCTCGAAAAGTTTTGCGAAATTTACGATGGATGATCGTGGATTCACTAAAGATCTATCGTTTAACCAGTGCCATTTCCGTAAATTTCCGAAGGTTCCTTCGGCGAAGTTTCATCCAAAGGTGCCCTCCTCAATTTCGGAGATTAATTTTAACATGGTAAGTTCAGAAGTACCCTACAAACAGGTTTATCACCAAGCCATACGCTATATATAGATATAGCGTCAATTGGTGCGACGCTTTTGCATTGCACATGAAGTGCAATGCCTTCCCTTTCCCATGCATTAGCATGGAGCTTTTACGGGACGCATTGCACGTAAGGTGCAATATAGCTTTGGTATTGCGCGTATTGGTGCGATATACTCTGAAAATCTAGCGGCGTGACTTCGTGCTGCTGCAGGGGCGTGAATTAAGTGTCATGCCAAAAAACGACAAGACAGAAGAGTCATGCCTAAATTCGGCGTGACTCAGAAATTCACGCCATTTTTTTTGGCGTGAATCTCCTGTCATGCCGGTTTTTGGCATGACTTTTCTCATTCAACGCATTGAACGCACCAATCCACGTGGTCAATTCACGCCAGATAACGGCGTGACGCACACGTCACGCCGTTGTTCGGCGTGAATTTCCTGTCACGCCATTTTTTGGCGTGACTTTTTGTCACGCCATAATTTGGCCATGTGTCCGACTATTCATTTTCTAGTGGTCTCAGTGCATTGGACTATACGTGCTATATTCAGAGCGTTTGGAATCCCAGTGAATATTTTGACCCAGTACGGTTTAAGGGGAGGTTCTGGTGAAAATCTTGCCATTTTCCAAATGGATCCTACAGTCATAATTTGTTCGGAATATAAAATTTTTCATTGGGGAGACTAAAATTTGACTTTTGAAGGCACATGCCAGGCTGTAAACCCAGTCGAAGAGTCTTTTTGAGCCTATTTTGGCTGTATCTTAAAAAATCTCCTTGCGCATACTATTTTGTCGTAAAAGGTTGACCTTGACATTTTTCACTTCTTTGACTCATTTTCAAAAGATTCCGGCATGCATAGCTCAAAACTTCCATTATATTATTAATTATTAGCTTTTTAAGCTGAAAAGTCCCTAAAATTTGTCTATTTTGTACATTTTTGATCAATTTTAGTGAAATGCTTGGTTAGAAAGCTTGCGAATAAAAATGCAATTGACATTTTGAGATGGGCATGCCGGCATTTTTAAAAAATGAATCGAAGAAGTAAAAAATGTCTAAGCCAACCTTTTACGACAAAATAGTATGCGCAAGAAGATTTTTTAAGTTATAGCCTAAATGGGAGAAAAAGGCTCTGCGACTGGATTCAGGGCATAGAATGTGCCTCCCCAATGAAAAATTTTAATAAATACTTGATATGACATCAAATTTTTAACAAATTTTCACAGTGGGACCTATTTAGGAGAAAATAGCATTTTCACCAGAACCTCCCCTTAATAAAAGTTAAGCAATTTAAATGCTTCAGTACGTGAAAAATGCCTTGACTTGTTTGAAATACAGAAAGCTGGGCTTGCACTGCTAATCCAAGTGTGGACCAAGTCCAAGCTAGGTAGCCTGGACCACGAATGGTCCACGCTGGAAGCGTGGACCACGGATGGTCCACACTTGGAAGTGTGATTGGCCTATGAGGAGATCAACGCTCTGAAGCGTGGACCACAGCTTGGTCCACGCTACCTAGCGTGGACCTGGTCCACACTTGGATTAGCAGTGTGCAGTGATTTTTCCTGAACTTTTTTCACCTCGTCGTATTCGTCACCAGCGGCCATCCTCACAAACGGGAGGTCGTCCTCAATGGCGCGCAGCAGCCTGGGCATTCGGTCCCCGCCCGTCGTGCCGTGGTCGTACGCTACAGTGTAGCTGTTATACACGTTCAATGCGATGAAGTCGGTCGCACCGCCTGAAAAATAGGCATGTCTGAGGCTCAATATTATACCGGGCACAGGCCGGTCCGTGTACACCACAAACCCTCCAATTAGCTTACACGGCCAAGTACGCACTCTCCCAAGTGCAAACTTAGAAAGTGCACACTAAAAGGGGGTCAGATTTGGCTTGGTCCCGCAACTCCATGCTATGTACATGCAATTGCAAGTGTAGACAGGTAGGCATTTTTGTTTCCTTGGAAAAGGATTGTGGTGCAAGAGCAATGAACAGAAGCAAAAACTGCCCTTTTCGCATAATGAAAACAGTGCACGCTGTTCTTGAACGCATGTTATTTGAGTTTTGCTGTCCTATTTCGTTTGAATGTAGATGTACGTTCAAAAGAATAACATTCTAATTACGTTCAAGCGAATGTGACATCGTATTCAAAGGAACGTCACAAAATGCAAGCGTTTTCTTGAATATGACGTCACATTCGTAAGAATGTGAATTTTGTCACATTCGTTTCAATGCGATGTCGCATTCGTTTGAACGTGGATCAACATTCAAACGAACGTGGATCAACATTCAAACGAATGTGACATCAAATTCCAACGAACGTGACAAAATTCCCACTGTAACGAATGTGACGCCACATTCGTCGAACAAACAATGTGTGAGTGACCTGTTCGCTCACCTTGTAGAAGCTGCTTCTCCGTCTCATTGAAGAACGGCAGTCTGGACTCGGTGGGGCCGCGCTCTGCTTCCGCATGTCCACAAGGAACCGCGTCGCCTCTGAGTAGTCTCCGTAGACCAGGGGGGCACCACCGTGCCTGAGAAGAGCTGCATGAATGCATCTGACGCCAAGACGTCCTCGGACCGCGTCGACGCAGGCACTGCAGGCCACACCAGGACCGAGAACCCCCCCGGCCTGCGAGCAAAAAATGAAAAATGACGGATGTTTCGGCACACCTGAACCTGAGGGGGTAGACACTATCTAGCCCGTGCCCCAAACTACACTCTCAGACTCGTCTTGACTTTTTACCTCTTCCCAAAAAAAAGTTTTGGGCTTTTATTTTTTTGAAACATTTTTTTTTTTTAATTTTATCCCTGATGGTTCATACTTCAAAAAAAATATAAATATTGCCCGAAACGATACCTTTCTGAGATCGAGTACTTTCCTTGTAGGGGCGGTATGCTCTTGCGTGCGCC